TAAAATAAATTATTTAATAATTTTTTAAATAAAGAAATTAGTTAGTTTAAATTATATGTAAATATTATAACAATAAGTAATAATAGAATTAAATAAATAACTTACGCCCTATATTATTTAATAATTTTTTAAATAAAGAAATTAGTTAGTTTAAATTATATGTAAATATTATAACAATAAGTAATAATAGAATTAAATAAATAACTTACTCCCTATATTATTTAATAATTTTTTAAATAAAGAAATTAGTTAGTTTAAATTATATGTAAATATTATAACAATAAGTAATAATAGAATTAAATAAATAACTTACTCCCTATATTATTTAATAATTTTTTAAATAAAGAAATTAGTTAGTTTAAATTATATGTAAATATTATAACAATAAGTAATAATAGAATTAAATAAATAACTTACACCCTATATTAATTAATAATTTTTTAAATAAAGAAATTAGTTAGTTTAAATTATATGTAAATATTATATAAATGTAATAATAGAATTAAATAAATAACTTACACCCTATATAATTAAATAATTTTTTAATTAAAGAAATTAGTTTAAAATATATAAATATTATATAAATAAGTAAATAAATAACTTAATAGCTTACGATCTATTAAATAAAGAAATTAGTTAGTTCAAATTATATATAAATATTATATAAATAAGTAATAATAGAATAAATAAATAACTTATAACTTACGATCTATTAAATAAAGTAATTAGTTAATTTAATTATAGGTAAATATTATATCAATAAGTAATAATAGAGCTAAATAAATAACTTATAACTTACGATCTATTAAATAAAGTAATTAGTTAATTTAAATTATATGCAAATATTATATAAATAAGCAATAATAGAATTAAATAAATAACTTATGGCTTACCAACTAAAATAAATTACAAAGTAGTTTTTTTAAATAAGAAAATTACTTTGTTTAAATTATATGCAAATATCATATAAATAAGTAATAATAGAATTAAATAAATAAATTATAAGCTATAACTTACGAGCTATTAAATAAAGAAATTAGTTAGTTTAAATTACTATATGTAAATATTATATAAATAAATAACTTACTCTCTATATTATTTAATAAAGAAATTAGTTAGTTTAAATTATTTATAAAAAATATAAATAAGTAATAATAGAATTAAATAAATAACTAATAACTTACGATCTATTAAATAAAGAAATTAGTTAGTTTAAATTATAAGTAAATATTATATAATAAGTAATAATAGAATTAAATAAATAACTATTAACTTACGACCTATAAAATAAAGATATTAGTTAATTTAAATTATATGCAAATAATATATAAATAAGTAATAATAGAACTAAATAAATAACTAATAACTTACGATCTATAAAATAAAGAAATTAGTTAGTTTAAATATATGTAAATATTATATAAATAAGTAATAATAGAATTAGATAAATAACTTACTATCTATATAATCAAATGATTTTTTAATTAAAGAAATTAGTTTAAATTATATGTAAATATAATATAATAAGTAATAATAGAATTAAATAATAACTTACAAACTATTAAATGTAGAAATTAGTTAGTTTAAATTATATGTAAATATTATATAAATATGTAATTATAGAATTAAATAAATAACTTACTCTCTATATTATTAATAATTTTTAAATAAAGAAATTAGTTAATTTAAATTATATTTAAGTAATAATAGAATTAAATAAATAACTTACTCCCTATTATTTATTAATTTTTTAAATAAAGAAATTAGTTAGTTTAAATTATATGTAAATTTTATATAAATGTATTAAATAAATAACTAATAACTTACGAACTGATAAATAAAAAATTAGTTAGTTTAAATATTATATAAATGAGTAATAATAGAATTAGATAAATAACTTAACTTAAATAAAAAAATTAGTTAAGTTATATGTAGATATTATACAAATAAGTAAGAATAGATTTAAATAAATAACTATGACCTACCAACTAAAATAAAATTTTTTAATAAAGAAATTAGTTAGTTTAAATTATATATAAATGATATATAAATATGTAATTATAGAATTGAATAAATAATCTACCCCCTATATTATTTAATAATTTTTTAAATAAAGAAATTAGTTCATTTAAAATATATAAATATCGTATAAATAACTTGACAGAAACTTCAAGATCGTAGCGATAGCTTAATGCACAGTAACTGCATTATAAATTCCAGTCTGGAATGTGTGGCAGATTATGCTGAATATATTAGCTTTAGAGTAAGGAGTGATGGTTAGTGGTTTAAGTGTCACATGATCATGTGCAAGCCTGAGGTTCAAAAACACTATTTATCTGAGAGACGTGTTTTTTTTAGTGGTCCAAAACTTATTTGTCACCTGTTATTTGTTACTGATTTTGGTGTAACCTGTCACACATTTTTGGATGTGCGTTATAAATACATAGTGACCACATTATGTAATCGTAAATAAATTATATATATGCAGTTAATGTGCATTAAGCCATCGCTATGATCTTAAAAAGAAGTAATAATAGAATTAAATAAACTACTTACTCCCTATATTATTTAATAATTTTTTAAATAAAGAATTCAAGTTATATATAAATAAGTAATAATAGAATTAAATAAATAACTTATAACTTACAATCTATTATATAAAGAAATTAGTTAAGTTATATGTAAATATTTTATAAATAAGTAATAATATAGTTAAATAAATAACTTACTCTCTATATTATTTAATAATTTTTAGATAAAGTAATTAGTTAGTTTAAATTATATAAAATATTGTATAAATAAGTAATAATAGAATTAAATAAATAACTAATAACTTACGATCTATTAAATAAAGTAATTAGTTAGTTTAAATATATGTAAATATTATATAAATAAGTAATAATAGAATTAGATAAATAACTTACTATCTATATTATTTAATAATTTTTTTAATAAAGAAATATATTAGTTTAAATTATATGAAATATTATATAATAAGTAATAATAGAATTAAATAATAACTTACAAACTATTAAATATAGAAATTAGTTAGTTTAAATTATATGTAAATATTATATAATAAGTAATAATAGAATTAAATAATAACTTACAAACTATTAAATAAAGAAATTAGTTAGTTTAAATTATATGCAAATATTATATAATAAGTAATAATAGAATTAAATAATAACTTACAAACTATTAAATATAGAAATTAGTTAGTTTAAATTATGTGTAAATATTATATAATAAGTAATAATCATCAAATAAATAACTTATGACCTACCAACTAAAATAAATTATAAAATAATTTTTTAAATAAAGAAATTAATTTAAATTATATGTAATTATTATATAAATATGTAACCATAGAATTGAATAAATAACTTACTTGCTACATTATTTAATAATTTTTTAAATTAAGAAATTATTTATTTCAAATTATATGTAAATATTACATAAATAAGTAATAATAGAACTAAATAAATAACTTACACCCTATATTATTTAATAATTTCAAATAAAGCAATTAGTTAGTTTAAATTATATATAAATATCATATAAATTAGTAATAATAGAATTAAATAAATAACTTATAACTTACGATCTATTAAATAAAGAAATTAGTTAGTTCAAATTATGTGTAAATATTATGTAATAAGTAATAATAAACTCAAATAAATAACTTATGACCTACCAACTAAATTAAATTACAAAATAATTTTTTAAATAAAGAAGTTAGTTAGTTTAAATTATATGTAAATATTATATAAATATGTAATTATAGAATTGAATAAATAACTTACTCCCTATATTATTAAATAAAGAAATTAGTTGGCTCAAATTATGTGTAAATATTACATAAATAAGTAATAATAGAATTAAATAAATAACTTACACCCTATATTATTTTATAATTTTTTAAAGAAAATAGTTAGTTTAAATTATATATAGACATTATGTAAATAAGTAATAATAGAATTAAATAAACTACTTACTACTCCCTATATTATTTAATAAAGAAATTAGTTAGTTTAAATTACATGTAAATATTACAATAATTAAGTAGTAATAGAATTAAATAAACTACGTACTCCCTATATTATTTAATAAAGAAATTAGTTACTAGTTTAAATTACATGTAAATATTACATAAATAAGTAATAATAGAATTAAATAAACTACTTACTCCCTATATTATTTAATAATTTTTTAAATGAAGAAATTGGTTAGTTTAAATAAGTAATAATAAAGTTAAATAAATAACTTATGACTTACCAACTAAAACAAATTACAAAATAATTTTTTAAATAAAGAAATTAATTAGTTTATAAATGTTATATAAATAAGTAATAATAATAGAATAAATAAATAACTTATGACTTACCAACTAAAACAAATTACAAAATAATTTTTTAAATAAAGAAATTAGTTAGTTTAAATTATATAAATAATAGAACTATGAATACCAATACCATATTATAACTTACACCCTATAGTATTATTAATTATTATTAATTAGTTAGGTATAAATATGATATAAATGTATTTACTGTAAGTTAACATATATTACTTACAATCTAGTTATTTAAATTAAGAATATAATTAGTTAAATTATATTAAAATATTAAACAAATAAATACAATATATATATTGTAACTTACCATCTGTAATATAATTAATTATTAAATAGTTATTTAAATAAAGAATTTAGTTATTTGAATGTTACGTAAAATAAATGAAGCAAATTATTAAAAATTTATATAACTGATAACTTACTAACTATAGTATTATTAATCATTAAATAAATTATTTAGTTATATGGAATACAATAAAAAATAATGAGTAATTGAGTAATTCATCATCATTCAATTATATAAACTTACGAGCTAAAAAAATATTTAATATAATTTTTATATAATATAGTTAGTCTAAATTATATTTGCATATTACATAAGGTATAATTATAGTTGGTATTTGAGTTGTTTATAAATAAAAATTTAATATTTTAGCTTGTTTGATATACCTTTAGATTCCTTGGTATTACTTCCTTCAAACTCCTCAATACTACTTCTTTCAAATTCTTCAGTGCCATTCCCCTCAAATTCTCTAGTGCCACTTTCTTCAAATCCTTCAATATTACTGGGAACTAGTTTTGTTATATTGCAAATTTGGTTTAATTATATTTGATTATTTACAATTAAATTTTTTTAATAAATAAAAATCTTTATATTTCATCTTTGTTTTGTATATTATATTTACCTTTAGGTTCCTTGATATTATACAAATCTAGTTTTATTATATTGCAAGTTTGTTTTAAAAATTTTGAATAATTTAATTTATATTATTATATATTTATGCTATATGCTTACCTTCACCAATACATTGACCCATTACTATATTATTAAAATTTTCTCTCTAATTGGAAAAGATTAAATATCTTTTTTATATTTATTAAACGTCTTTATTAGTATAAATAAGGTAATAATATTTATGCAAAATGTATTATATGCAAAATGTTGATCACAACCACCGCATATATATGACAAATCAAATTTATACATCCGGAATTTCGGAATGCAAATCTTATTGTTGCGTAAAATCGGATGAAAATTTCTAAATACATGATATATAGACTTAGTTACTTTACAATTTATTTAAAGTGCAAAGATAATTGTAAATATATCTGTATAATACATATAATACATTTTTTATTTTAAAATATATATAATTTAAAATCACGTGATCACATCCAATTTTTCGCATGGGACTATTATCTTGAGAAAAAAAGAAAAAATAAATATTTTTTTTTCTTAAAATACATAAAATATAATCATTTATTTCAAGTTAGCTTGATAAAATTAATACTTAAGTAATGTAATTTTACACTTGTTGAACACTTAATTTTTTTAAGCCTATTTTATTTAGCCAAAATACTCTATGAAATTGAAAATAAATATGGCACATAAGCAATATTAATACTTTTATTTCTCTTTGTTCCTGGTTGTTTTTTTTCATTTTTCTTTTATCATTTTTTATTTATTTGTTAAATTATTTTCTATCAACTTATTAGTACATTTTTCTTTATATTTTCATTGTCAGGTTTCTCTTTTGTATTGTTATTTTAGTTCATATTGAATAATAAAGTATAAATTTTATTCAATAATTTTTAAATAAATAATGCTTAAAATCATTATAGATGCATAACTTTACGGTTTAATATTATATTTATCAAATAAATTTTATAATTTAAATAAAATGGTTTTTGTAAAAAAAATGTGTTTAACGGAAATTTTAAAAAATGCGTAACAAAAAATTTAAGAAAAACATGTTGTTTTTAATTTTTGACGCATTACGTCATATAGAATAATTATCACATGAGGTATGGTGGTTAAAATATCATCCGCAGTTCGGTGATATTTCAACCCCCACCCAACAACTATTATTTAGTATTCACAGTGATAATTGTAAAATATAATTGTATCAAAGTTTATGGTCGCACAGAATAATCTAATTTTGGAAAATTTGCCGGAGCTGATTCCGGTATTTTATTATGAAAATCACTAATAGATCATCGGCTTTGATTTTGATGCTGTTTTATTTATATTTTTTTTCTCTATTTCGCAATTATTTTATTGATGATACTTTTGAAAATATTTCACTCATAAAGATTATTTAAGCCGCTTTTTTGTTATTTGAATAAAATGTCCAATCCCATTAAGGATACTATTTTCTTGATATTTGAAGAATTACAATTTAAAAGATGATCTTTTCATGTCTAATGGTTAATAGGTGTTGGTAAAAAATAGTGGTCCCAGTTTTATGGAGAAATCCTTGATCCTATAACGGTATTAATTATAGAAAAAAAAGCTATTTATTCTTCTTGCTACATAGCTATTTGTTTGACGATATTAATAAATTCATAACAGAGAAAGGAATCCATTCGAATTCAATTGTAGTTAAAACGCTCTTGTTTAATTATTTATCCTTCTGCAGAAGTGTCAATGTAAATACTATAAATAGTATAATTTCTATTGGATCATCTCTAACTTATAATCAATTTTACTCTCTCTTACTGAGAAAATGTTCGGAATTGAAGTATTTTGATATGAGGATCAATTAAACATCAAATATTTTATTTCCAGAAGCTAAGGTTCGCCTTGAATCACTTTGAGGTAACACGTCTATTGATTCTTCATGATATTTTTATGGATTACCACGTTTTTGTCAAAACTTGTCATTTTTAATAGACTCAAAACCTAATCATGGGATTGTTAAGTTAATTGAGGATCAGAAACATTTAAAGTATTTTGAATGGAGTAATTCTTTTGATGATTCTTTTAAGGATGATGATCCTTATGAACAAATTCTTCTTGCACTAGAAAAAAATGTAGAAAGCCTCAATTATTTAAATATTTTCTTCCAAGATGTAGAGGACTATAAACACACATTATTGCACGAGATACTGTACTTCCAAAATTTTATAAATTAAAAGTATTATTTGTTGGTGCTTCTTTTTGTTTTACTCTACAGCAATTAGAATAATTGAAAATAAGTTTATTATGAACTTGAATTCCTTTATATAGATGCAAAAAACTGAATTTTATTCTAATATAATTGAAAATAGTGGAGGACGTCTTAAAATAATTTTTATTCAAACCTTATGACATTATTTACTTTGGATTTAATGATGATGGCTTTAATAAGGATTTTCTCAATTTTATTCGTAAAGTTTATAAAAAGTATCCTTCAATTGAATATTTGTCAATTTTAATTTTACCAACAAAGGATAATTTCATTGAACTTAAAAATTTATTAAAAAGATGTTAGAATTTAAAGTCATTATTAATAGTTATATTAAATAGTAATTACAATGATACTTACGAAGACTATTTAGAATATGGGTATTAAAAATATTAATTAGATCGGCACCAACTAATTTTGATTTGGTAGTGAATTCAAATTTTCTTTAGATATATTGGAGGAAATCTCAGAAAATTGGAGAGGTAGACGTGCACTTTCCATATTTACTATTGATTCTATTTACATAGGAGAGGATTATACAAAAGTAATCAATGAATATAAAAGTAATAGGGTAATCAAAGATTTCGAATATTCGCGTTTTGATTATGGAATTAATTATTGCCATAGATGATCTGATTAGTAAATTATCTTAAACCTTTTTGGGCTTTTATATTTGCAAATACTGTATATTATCAAGAAATTTCTACTCTATGTACTTTTATATAAGTTTTACTGTATAAAAAATAGGAAAATTATTTTTGTATATAATTTTAGGTCAAACAATTTCATTGTCGTCATACTTTGAAAATGACAATTTTGGTATTATCACATGTATTAGTCAACACATAAATGGATAAATAAATTTAATCGAATGAATTTTCATTCATTCCATTAAATGAATGAAGTTTCTTTCTTTTTTTAAAGAGAAATAAAGTATGCTTACAATATGACAATTATTTTCCTTTTTTTTGGATTTGAATTTTTATTAATGCAGATTAGAAGCTAATAAATTCTGGAAAATTCAAATAACGAACGAAATTGCTAAGTTCATCCAACTTCGAGTATATTACGTCATCCCATATATGGCAAAAAATTGGAGATCATCTTTTTTTACTTTCGTTACAAGAAAAAATTTTTTAATGTTTTTCAAACTCCTGCTTAAAAATATCTGTTAGAGAGCCAAAGTTTCTGGTTTTTCAAATAAACTTTAAAAAAGTATAGTATAAATATAGTTTACAACGAAAAACTACCATATGAAGTTAACAGTAGTTGCGAATTCTCTAAGGTAAGTTGCGAATTCTCTAATTAGACTAACTTTAAATTAACTTAAAACTTGCGAAACTTTGAGACTTAATAATATAGTAATTAGTTAAATAATTTATATCAAAAAATTAGCAAGCATCATATTCAAATAAAAATTTTTACTAATACCATTTTATTTTTTTATTATCTTAAGCGTATATGTTCTTTTAAACTAAATACAAAATATTTCATGTGTTGTGAAGTAATAATTAGATTATTATAATTTTATAATGAAATGGAAAGGCAAATAAATTAATTTAATAACCTTGAATTATATATTTGGCGTGGTATTTTCATTAAGTTTTGTCCATAAAAATATATAGAAATATTAATAAATGGTTAAAATGTAGATAGAATGCATTATATTTATTATTTGAACGTATATTTAATAAAATTCATATGGTAGGTTGGGAAATATTTTATTTTTCCAAGAGTTTTCTCGTAAATTTCGTGGTCACGTGATCATATAAAATGATCGTCATATGGTCATATACAAATGATGACGTAATATACTGGACCCTTAAGTTCTTTTTATTTTTTTAAAAAATTTAAAAAAAAAGACATTTGACATTTTCTTTTTTTCTTTTTGTAGAATAACCGGCCAGGCTTCTGGGACGAGTTTCGTCGATAATCATAATTAAACTTTCGAAATTTCTTCCCTTATGTTATTTTTTTTTTGTAGTTTCTTTGGGAACAGCATTTTGAAGGACCTAAGTAAGTTTTTGAAAATGTCTCAATAACTTTCTTTAAAACGGTTTATTACATTTTTTTATAGAACTACCTTAAGGAATAGTACTATTATTGAGTACCATTGTAGACTATATAGCATCCCTTAAATACACATTTAGATTGAAGATAAGTATGTTTTATATGCATGGTTCAACTTTATTTCAGAACCCGTGAGTTTTCGAATTTAAAAAACAAGGAACATTTTTGCTAACGTCTATTTTATCTTGATAGTTATAATAACAAGAGTGTAAGTCCAAATGACTTTAAATATATTGTTTCTCCCATTGGAAAATTGATGATCATGATGTTAAAGCAATTGAATCAGGTCGACAAAATATTTGTTGAAATTTGTATAATTTTTTTTTAAGTTATCTAAAAAAGAAGTCTCAAAAATTCCCCTCCCTTTTATGTCATATGACTTCATATAAAATCATGGGATTCAATAATTGATGAACGCGTCTTGCACTCTTAAAATTAAAAATGAATATTTATTGTTATTATGTAAATTAAGTAGTTGAAAATTTTTACTTATTGTTTTATACATATATTAATTTAATAAATAATAATATTATTGTTACATAATTTTTTTAAATAATAATTTTTAATTATTCAAATCATATGACTTTTCGTAGAGGTAGATTATATTTTTAATTTAATTTCCAATAAAAAAAGAGATCTTAGATAAAATCATTCACACAATTTAATCTAAGAATTTTTTCTTTTTTTTTACGATCGTCTAACCTAATAAAAAAATTTTAATAAGTTATTTTATATGAACGATTATCAGAAAACTATCAATGTAAAAATTACTACATAATTTAAATATGGCAAGAAAATTT